GTTTTGACATATTTTTTTTTTCTGCAGCTATAAAGGAAATTAATAAAGTGAAGATGAGGTAGTCACTTTGATCCCTGAAAACATTAAGAAGACCACTGGTTAGCTCTCCAGTTTTACACAACAGGAATTTGTTCCTTCTTGTAATAATTTATTTCGATATTATACTTATGTCAAAGTGTACATTGTCTACTGTGTCACACTTAGATTGTCTCCTAAACTACTTATTTTTTTCATTTCCTTAAGTGTGGAGAATTATCTCTGGAGATCTGAAGCATGTGCTTTTGCTTGAAATATTAAAATATATATTCCACAAGTGGGGGAATATGGAAATGACACTTAAAGTACATAGTAGAGCATGAGTAAATTCATAAAAATGTGAATGAACTTGTCAAAATCATGGAACTAAAAGCTTAATTTGATAGTGCACCAGAACATGAGTAAGGAACACATGACAAAGTTGTGTTATTAATGGTCCTGTATATTAAGAGTTTTATCTGGGAAATGGGCCATTATTTGGATGACTTAAATATGTTGCTTTTGTGACCAGCTTTGAGTTCTTAAACCATCAGTCTGGGAATAATGAGTGCATCAGATCAGGGACAAGTACCTTCTTTATTTATTCACTACTTTGTTCATCCTAACATCGGCATAATATTTTATTTTCATGATTGGTTCTCAATTCTCATCCAGTCATAAACAAATAGGCATATCTTCTGCCTATTTATAACTTTATACTAAAGTAAGAATTTTTTTAAGGAAGGGTCTTTTAGCCTTAAAAACTGAGATGATTATGTTTTCTGTGGTCATGGGTTGAATTTTTTAATAACCTGTGTTTTGATCTGTATTTAAATGTCACAGTGTGGATTGAATGCTTTTTCTGGAAGCAGAGACATATGTGGAGGCTTCAGGTTTCTTATTTCTTTACTTGTTCTTTCTGGATTTCATAAAAAAGGTATAAATGAGCAATAAAATAACTTGGTCAGAATGTGATAGGATATTGCATTACCTTTGTTTGTTTTTAAAGGTCACATATTGTATTTAAAAATACGTGAGGCAAATTGCTGTGTAAAATTCAGGTTAAGAAAGGATATTAAAAACAAAAACACTCTCTTTAATCTGAAAAGTCCTGAAGAGTGTAAAGTTTTAATTAAATAAAAATTAATTATGAAATATTTTAATATGCAATTTAGGCATTAAATAAAATGAGCATTTTTTTCTTCCTTAGGTATGTGTTACCAAGTTTCAAGAATGTTAAAAACTTCTCTGATGATTTAATCTGAAATCATTCCTACAGCGAAATTCATAAATAATAAATATTATCTTATTAATCCATATTTTAGTTTAGCTGGGTCTCAGAGCAACTTAGTTCCTCAGGGAATGCGGTGTTCTTTATAAAAGAAGGTGATGAGATGTAATCTCCAAGGAATTAAATTGTGAAAACAATCTTGGTATTGTACATGCTAATATAGATCTGTTATTCCCTTTCCGCATCTATCACAACACATTTTAAATTGTGGCTGATCTTGTATGCAAATAGCTGCATTATTAGAAATTGCGGCTCTACGTGCTAATGTCTCCCTGGATTTCTTGGGAGTTTGCTATCTCACCATCAAAGCAATAGAAATGAATGATGATTACTGCAAGGCTTTGAAGAACAAAGAGAAGTCAGAACATTTTAGAGGTTCTAGATGTCTGAGGCACTGACAGTTTGCAACATACAAATGAATGGGAATCTCCTTAAATAGTTTAAAATAGCCTCAATGTGTTTATTAGGAAAGTAAAATATTTTCTACATTTTTGTATTTGTTACAGCTAATAAAATGTAAGTCATTTGTGCATGGGTGTGTTCTTTAGACTTTTTTTTGTTTCATCATTTGGTAAAAATTGTATTTTGCTTAAAAAATAGAACAGATTGAATAAAGAATAGAGTAGAATAATTTCAGAGAACAAAGTTTAAATTTTTGAAATTTTGGTTAAGAATTATCAGTCACCAAAATCATTGGGAACAAAAATTCAAGGCTAGTTCCTCCTTAGTGTATCTCTTAGGTTGAAATTCTTTTAAAGATTTTATAGTCACAGGTTATATACATATAAAATGTATCAATTCATAGAGTATAAGCTTTTATAAAAATATAGGTTCTTTAGCTTTTTTGGTATCACTTTATTTAAAGTACATTTTAAAATAAGTAAAATCTAATTCCTTTTGTTGAAAAAATATTCTCAATGGAGCTCTTCCTTTTTTATTTACTACAGGTAAGGAATGAATAAAATACTGGCCTTTGAAGTATTATCTCTGTTAGGATTTTGGTTTAAATGACCAAGCAGGAATTGAGGGAAGCATAGTAGGTGGCCTTAGTAATTTTCTTCTTAAAAAATTTTCCGTAAAGGCAACAGACAAAACTAAATTGAAGAGGGAATAATGTCTTTGTATTTATTTATTTAAACTAACTTCTCTCCTAAAATGGAGTGATATTTTTTCTAGCCCTACATAATCAAGATTAAAATAACTTGACTCCCTTTTACTATTAGTAGATGCAAAACACTATGCAAATGGTTGCTACATGAATAAATTATATCATATCTATTGATATTTTTTGTGATGCTTATATTAATGTTCTAAATAATAACAAGTGAGAATATAGGATTAGGTGATGTCTTGGTTTCATTTCTGAGATTTTAAGGTTGTATTATCTTAGAGTGATAGCTACATGGTTTATGAGGTGAAGATTTAATTTATTTGATTTTTTTGTCTTACTTTGCACATTTCTAAATATTACCATAATATTAAATGTGAAGATTATTATGAATAGAAAAATAGGTTTTTAGCAGAATTTATAGTTTTCTTAAACGTAAGTAGTAATTGTTAATTTGGGGGTGCCTTTTACTGTGTTAGGTGGTATCGTTGTTAGGATTGTTCTGTGTGACCATATATATAAATAAACAATACAGTTTGAACTGAACAGATTTCAAAGACATTTGGCATTTGAGAACCTTAATAATGTTCTTTAGGAAAATTACAGCTTAATAATTTATATGGAGACATCTATACATACTTAAGTTAGGGTGATACTACCTACTGTAACAGATAAATATAAAGTGTATAAAGGCTCAAATGCTACAAGTTATTTCTTGTTCTCACAGCGGCGTGAAAGAGAAAAAACAAGTTGGTTGAGTGGGTTTCCTTTGCGTAGCCATTCAGAATCCAGGATGTCACAGGCTCTGCCATCCTCATCAGATTATTTTCAGCATCGCTTGGGGAGTCATCTCCATTTTATCCAGATGAATAGGTACATATGGAAAGTTTTTGTAGGTTGATTCTAGAAGTAGCAAGCTCTAATTTATTCATACTCTGTTGGCTGAAACTCAGTCACATGCCCACAGCTAACATCAAAGGAGGCTGGAAAAGTTGTCAGGTGAGCTCAGGAACAAAACAAAACCAAAGACCCTAAAAAATGGAGGAGAACATGTATTCTAGTAAGTAACTAGGAATTTTTCCTATAGTCTACCTTTCTAGTCATGAAATAGCCATGCACATCCTTTTCCCTGACTCTTTGGTAGGAAGATCCTAAAGTTCCCCACTTATCATGGCCAGGACAAGCCAAAGATCCCTCTTAGGTTGGAATGTGTGTCCCTGAAGTTTACGGACTATTAAATTTTGCTAATGGTGAACCAGAAGATGACTGCTTCATATCTTCCAATTAAAGAAGGAAGAATGGGAAGAATGGGAAACATACCAGGAAGCACTGATGCAGCATGATAATGAAGCCTGCTGTGCACGAGGCCACTGATAAGGCCCCTTGTGCAGGCAGAAGTTTCTTCCTTGGACCCTCAATTATGGTTTTTTAGAGAAGTTTCCTTGTCCATTGTTCTTTATGGCCCTCACCTTCTGGATGGTTCTCCTTTCCGGTCACATATGAAGTGGATATTCCAAATCTACAGAGTTTGCTTTCCTTGGGGGCTGCAATCTGCTGGTTTAAGTTTAGAGGTCCAAGGATTCGTTTTAATTCACTTATTTTTTTAGACAAAGTTGTAAATAAAATTTCCTCAGATTTTAGTATCCTTCTTAACTGTTTCTGATTAGTTCCATGTGACAGTGCGTTTCTGCCACATATAATTTTTTAAAGTTTTTATTTCAATTCCAGTTAGTTGGCAGTGTAATATTAGTTTCAGATGAATAATACAGTAATTCAGCTCTTCCATACAATACCTGTGCCCATCACAAGTGTCCTCCTTAATCCCTACCACCTACCTCATCCATCCCCTCACCCACTTCCCCTCTGGTAGCCATCAGTGTGGTCTCTGTAGTTAAGAGTCTTTTTCTTGGTTTGCCTCTCTCTCCTGTCCTTCTCCCTCTCCCCCCTTGCCCATTTGTTTTGTTTCTTAAATTCCACACATGTCTGCCACATATTTAAATTCAATAAAAATAGTAAGATTTGAAAGATGTGTTGTGGATTAAATCAAACAGTGCATGTAATCAGTAAGCATGAGAATATTAGTAAATGGTAGTCATTTATACTGTTTACAGAAGGAGAGACAGAACTAGAAGTCATATTTATGCACCTTTCTTACCTGTCATACTTTTTAAAACAAGATTCAAAGTATTTGAGATTCAAACTTTTTGTGTAACAGAATGGGTAATTAGAAAGAAACATACTGCCAAGAGCATGCCTACAACCCTAACCCATCTGAGTCAACGGTACATGGTTTTCACATTTACAGATAATACTTTTAACAGTTTGGTTTAATTGAGTATTTATAGTACTTGATAAAATGAATGTTACCAAGAACAAATAATTGGGAAATTTAATTACCAGCAATTGTATCCTTGATAATTTATTTGAAAGAATTTGTGTTCTTTACTGATATCTAATGGGAATAATCAAAGACATTTTTACCCATTGCTTTAAAAATGGGTTTTATGGAATAAATTATTCCTGAAGGTTTTAGATAGTCCTTTTGATTTTTTAGGACTTTATCATAATTATTTTCTTTTTTTGCAGCAGGCATTTTGGAGATCAAAGATGGGTAGAAAAGATGCCTCTACTATAAAACTTCCTGTTGATCAGTACAGAAAGCAAATTGGTAAGCAATGGATTCCCTTTGATACATTTCTGTGAATTAAGATAAATAAAAAAGAATGATGTGTGATATTAAGAAAATAACTTTTCCTTAATACAAATGATACACAGAGTATGAATAATGAAGGACTATATATTTTTAAAGAGCAAAAAATAAGTGTAGCCTGCTTACCAGTAGAGAAATATACTTTGTGTACTTGTGATTTTCAAAGCTCTTATAATTTTTATTAATTTAATACAAGCAAAAATGCATTTTATTATTTTTCTTAAGGCCAGATGTTTTTATATAGTATTTTTAGTGTTATTATCTATTAAATCATTTATTTTTATCCATGTAAAAACTTAATTTTGTTGACTCAATGACAATAATTTGATAAGCCTGAAATTCTTCTTCAAAATTTTACTTTAGTAAGATAGTGGGCTAGAGAAAAGTACACTAGTCAACACAAAAAAAAAAACAGGAAGCTTATCTATTTTAGACTATTCTCTAAGTACAAGATTTTCTACCCATTCTTTTCAAGAGCACATGAAGTATTTATAAAAAATTACCCACATACAAAATCACAAACCAAGTTCCCCCAATTTTAAAGAATCTGTATCCTATAGCTACAACTTTGAGCAAAGTGTAGTAAATCAGAAATCGTTTAGAAGCAAAAAAGGTAACCTACCCTTTCCCATCTTGCACCCTCTCTTTTTACATATTCCTACTCACTTCCATCCATTCCTACTTTGGAAATAAAAAAAATAGCAGTTAGTAAAAAACCTCTTCTAAAAAACTGAAGGATAAAAAGAGAAGTTACAATAGAAGTCAGAAAATAAGTAGAAATTATTAATACCAAAAGAGTATACACCTATTTTATAAATGTGATTTATAAGGTGCACACCATAAAGATATTTCTGTAAAACAAAAGAGGTGCAAAATGAAAGAAATATTAAATAATATTTAGAATATATATAAGCAATTAAAGATTTATATGTAGAAAAATAAAATCCTACTATAAATAAATAAACAAAGTAGTCTGGAAATCCAATAGTAAAACGGGTACAAAACATGAAGAAGCAATTCATGAAAGAAGAAATCTGAATAAACAAAAATAAAAACAAAACAAACAACTATTACAATAAAAAAATGAAATTGAAAGAGTCTTACAAAATGACCTAACTCATCTAACTGGTAGTCAGATAAAAGCAAATTTAAAAAAGTATTTCTAACTGGATTAAATTTCTTGAGGGATGGTTTATGATGCTTGAGTTTTTTCAGGGGGTATATTCCTCCCTCTTTCCTTCACTTAGAGGATGTCTGATGAATAAATAGTGTGGGTTGCTATGTTATTTTTGTGTTTAAACAGGACTGATTTATCAGATTAAAGTCTCTGATCAAATAAGATATGCTAACCACATAAATAATAGCCATATCGTGAATCAATTCACAATCCAACTCTTAAATATACAATTCTTAGAATTTTGACAAATGTACATACCCATGTAACCAGAAATGCCAGTCAAAATAGAAACATTTCCATTTTCTCAGGCAATTCATATCTGCTTCCAGTCAGTCTCTACCCACCTTCATATGCAACTACCGTTCAGATTTCTATCACCACAGATGAACTTTTTCTAAAACAAAAAAATAAGTAGCCTGCAAAGTTTTTATTGAAATTGACTTTTACCTATCAATTTTGGAGATTAGATATTAAAATCTAAATTCTTCTCTTTTATAGACATGGCATATCTTTTATTTACTTCTATTCATATTTATTAGAGCCAAGAAAGGACGAGACAAAGTAATATAATTATGAGGCCTCCACCCTTTTCTTATACTAAACTATTCAGAGAGTGCTGTGATATGCATTATATTCCCATACAAAGTTCTCTTTCCTGTTTTACTTCCTCTTGAAAATATTAGCTGCACAAGATCCACCTGTCTCACAAGGTTCTTTAGAGATCCATGAGAAGTGTCAGACCAGTTTGTAAACTAGAGTGTTGCATGGATATGAGTTATCCTGTGTGTATTTTACAAATAGAGTAATCATAATCAAACACAGTATATTAAAAGTAAAAGAGTGATGATGTTTTTGTTCACTACTTTTAAGGATAATGGACTGAGTTAAGATTCTTATGCATATACCATAGAATATTATGATATATATAAGTTTTTTGTAAAGATAGAAAAATGGAATAGAAAAGATACTGACTAGTTAATTAATAAAAACTAATTAAGATATTAACTAATTCAAGGATTTTCTCAAGGAAAGATTATCTGATTTTCTGTATCACAGTTAGAAAATACCACAAGACTGAGCTCATACTCATGATGATAGATTTATCTTCAGCACTGTCTCCCTTAAATGGAGTCCTATGCAGATGTTTCCCAGATCTGATAAAAAATGTGAGGAGGGAATAAATCAGCCATAATTATCTTGAAGAGATATTTTAGTATTGGTGGTAAGAAAAAATATATAAATATATAAATAAATATATATAATAAATATAACACATTTATTATATATTATATAAAATATATAAAATAAATATATATAAATATATATATAAAATATATAAATATAATAGTATCATAGTGTTTTTTTTTACTATTAAAGTTATTGGTAAGCTAATTCAATTGCTACTTAACGAACATTCACAAAGAGTAGTGGTATTACATGTGTACAATGTCCTCTTGTTATGAAATCTCACTTATTTATATAATTTTTGTATGGTCAGTCAATAACTATATTTGGTAATACCAATACCAGTGCCATTTTTTGAATGATGATTTTAATATCACTGTTTAATTTATCTTCTGCTAAAAGTTTTGCCTTTTCAATTATGTACTAAATGACAATGATTAATGGCTTTCATAAAAGCTTTCTTTATAATATTCTTCGCTCAGGTAAGAATCAAATAGGCTAATGCTGTGACTGGAAACACCTTGTAGATACAGAATCCTCATATTAAATGGACACTGTTTTAATTACTCTAGCGTGATCTTGAAATGTGTAGTAAGATGAAGTACCTTCTCGATTTCAAGGCAGTGCACCTAAGAAAAATAATATTCTGAAATATTTCTGGCTTAAAGGAGAAATAAATTGGTTTGGGTCTTTTCTTCAGATATAATATCATATGAATAGAGAGTAAGATTGCCCAATATTGCATGTATTATTCTAGGGATAAATTATTTCAAGATTGGAAGAGAATTTTAAAAACTGCTTTAACATAATTAAGATGTATTCTAAGTATATGTCATCAAGTATATCAGGCTAAACAATATTTATATGTATGAGGTTATTCATTATAAAACACAACTAATTTACCTGTAAATCTCTATTTTCTTACATAATATAAGTTGCTAACATTATTAAGCATCTTGTGTGAGGCACATCTTATTTTATCTTCATAATAGGTAAAAAAGCAACTACTATTTATAACTCCATTATACATATCAGGAAGATTTGGCACAGATGGGTTAAAGAAGTTTCCCAAGGTTCTACAATTGGTAGAAAGTACAGCCAGGACTCAATTCCAAGCAATGACCACATAATCCCTTTACTATACTACTTTTCTAGGGTTGAAGACTATATTAGGTACTGGCAGATGCAAAGATAATTGAATCACAAGATTTGAGTTCATGGAATTGACAGAATAACAGCACTTTGGCTGTCAGGAGAGTTTGAGGGACCTCTCTCTGCCCCTAATTCAGAAATACCAAAATATGAAGCTTCCATTTCTTAATTCTATTTTTAAGACTCCTAAGACATTTCTATTATAGTTCATTCAGTCAAAGCTCATACAATTATATGCATATTTACCACCACCCTGCTCTTAATTCATATTTACATCCCAGACCTTAAATCTGAAATCATGTTCTTTGTGCCTGGTGAACATTTTTTGGAATTTCTTAGAGTGTATGTCTACTTGTGACAAGTTCTGTTTCTTTCTTTTATGATATTAACATATCATTTTTAAAAGTTTTTATTGAAATTCCAGTTAGTTAACATACACTGTAGTATTAGTTTTGGGTGTACAATTTAGTGATTTAACACTTCCATGCAACACCTAGTGCTCATCACAGCAAGTATACCTATTAACTCCCATCACCTATTTAACCTATCCCCCACCCATCTCTCGCTGGTAACCGTGTTTGTTCTCTATAGTTAAGAATCAGTTTCTTGGTTCCCCCCCACCATTTTGTTTCTTAAATTAATTCCACACATCAGTAAAATCATATATTTGTCTTTCTCTGACTGACTTATTTCGCTTAGCATAATACCCTCTAGCTCTATCCACATCATTGCAAATGGCAAGATTTCATTCTTTTTGATGCCTGAGTAATTAAATAATATACCATTGTGTGTGTGTGTGTGTGTGTGTGTGTGTGTGTGTGTATACATAATAGAAATGGAATTTTCTTTGGAAAAATGTCTATTCATGTCTTCTGCCCATTTCTTAACTGGATTATTTATTTTTTGCATGTTGAGTTTGATAAGTTCTTTATAGATTTTGGATACTAACCCTTTATCTGATATGTCATTTGCATATCAAATTCTCCCATTCCATAGGTTGCCTTTTAGTTTTGTTGATTGTTTCCTTCTCTGTGCAGAAGCTTTTTATCTAGATGGATTCCCAGTAGTTCATTTTTGCTTTTCTTTTCCTTGTCTAGTAAGTAGTTGCTACAGCCAGTGTCAACATTTCAACAATATTTGTTCTTCCAATCCGTGAGGATGGAATGTTTTTTCATTTCTTTGTATCCTCCTCAATTTCTTTCGTGAGTACTTTATAGTTTTCTGTGTACAGATTCTTTGCCTCTTTGGTTAGGTTTATGCCTAAGTATTTTATGGTTTTGAGTGTAATTGTAAATGAGATCGACCCCTTAATTTCTCTTTCTTCTGTGTTGTTGTTGGTGTATAGAAATGCAACTGATTTCTATGCATTGATTTTATATCCTGACACTTCACTGAATTCCTTTATGAGTTCTAACAGTTTTGGAGTAGAGTCTTTTGGATTTTC